AGTAAATGAGAGAAGTCAGAGAAATAGAGAACTGAGAAAAACACAAATCCCAGCCACTATGTGATTAACTGATGAAACCTGACCAAAATCCATCCTTCAGGCTACACATGTCCATTCACCAAGATAGACCACATTCTGGGTCATAAAACTCACTTTAGCAAATTTCAAAGAAATCATATAATGTCTGCTCTAAGAGCACAATGGAACTAAAATATAAATCAATAACAGAAAGATAACTGGAAAATCCCAAAATATGTGGAGATTAAACATTTCTAAATAACACATGGTTCAAAGGGGAAATCTCAAGAGAAATTAAAAATATTTTGAACTAAACAAAAAGACAATTTATCAAAATGTATGGGATGCAGCAAAAGCAGCACTTAGAGGAAAATTTATAACATTGAACACATATATTATAAAATATTTAGAATCGATCACCTAAGGTTCCACCTTAGGGAGCTAGAAAAAGAGCAAATTAAACCCAAAGTAAGCAGAAGCAATAAGAATTAGAGTAAAATTCAATGAAATTGAAAACAATAGAGAAAAATTAATGAAACCAAAAGCTGTTTCTTTGAAAAGATCAATAAATTCAATAAATATCTAGCCAGAATAACTAAGATAAAAAGGAAAGACACAAATTACTAATATCAGAAATGAAAGAGGGAACATCACAGATCCCATGGACATGAGAAGGCTCATAAAGGAACACTATAAACAACTCTATGCCCACAAATTTTATAACCTAGGTAAAAGGGACCAATTCCTTGAAAGGAACAATTTGCCAATATTGACACAAGAATTAGACAATCTGAATAGGTCTGTACCTATTAAAGAAATTGAATCAATAATTAATAAACTTCCAAGCAGAACACACGAGGCCCAGATGGGTTCACTGGTGAATTCTACCAAACATTTACGGAAGAAATTATACCAATTCTCTACAATCTCTTTTGGAGGACGGAAGCAGAGGTAATACTTCCTAACCAATTCTATGAGGCCAGCATTACACTAATACCAAAAGACATAAAAAGGAAAAAAACCCAAAACTATAGCCCAACATCTCTCATAACTATAAACACAAAAAATCCTAAACAAAATATTAGGAAATCAAATCCAACAAATATAAAAATAATTATACACCATGACTAAGTGGGATTTATTCCAGATATACAAGGCTAGTTAAACATTCAAAAATCAATTAATCCACTACATCAACAAACTAAAATGTCTGATTATCACTAAGCACAAAAACCTCCAATGTCTTCATCAAAGTCTCCAATGTCTACATTACAGTTCTCTCAAAATGTGGTTTAAGGACCACCAGTTTCAGATTTAACTGTAATACTCATTAAAAATAAGATTCTGAGCTGTGGCTAGTGTTGCTCAGTGGTTAGGGCGTGGCCCACACACTGGAGAGTTCTGGGTTCTATTCCCAGTTAAGGGCATATACCTGGATTGCAAGTCTGATTCCCAATCTCAGAAGGGATCCATGCAGGAGGCAACTAATCAATGTAATGTGTGTCTCTCAAATCAATGTTTCTTTCTCTCTCCTTTTTCTCCCTCTCTCCCACTTTTCAAAACACAGCTGAAGTCACCTACTACCGTGACCCCCTCTGCACAGTTATAATTGCTTTCCTCTGCACTCTTTCAGCAAATTACATGTATTTCCCTTATAACATTTACTACATTCTCTTCCCAACACTCCTCACCACCTCCCAAAAGGAAAACTTTTTCATAAACTTTAAGGTAGAGGCTTACAAACTTTTCCAAACCTCAACAGACCATAACTCAATCCCAGCAGTAAAAGTTACCACAGGATGCTATACAGATAAAACAAAACATAGGATGCCTTCAATTCCAGGAGCTAGCTCTAATCTACTTTTCTCCTACAAACCGGCCTAAAATGGTGAAAAGATCTATTTGATTAAAGTTGGTCTGAAAAAAATAAATAAATAAATAAATAAATAAATAAATAAATAAATAAATAAAGTTGGTCTGTAAGTTTAAAAAAGAAAAATTAGAAAACATATAGTTTTATTCTTTAGTAAATTGCCTATAGACTATCCACTTTCTCAACATGAAACAAATTAAGAGTGAATACACGGTATTTTTAGTCTGGATCATAATCCTATTGTCATCTGCACACAAAAGGAGAACCGTATTACATGTACAGGTGTTTACTGAATTTTGGTCTACATAATGTATCAGAGAATAAGAGAGCAGAATGAGTTTATATCTATCAAAACAAAAATAAAATTAAGGTGTCCCAAGGCCTTGTCTTCCATTTGGACTAGTATTTAAGACAGCTATGAAATACTTGGCCAAACATGGACAAAAATTCCAATATTACCTACATGATGCATAAAAAAACCCAAAAAGAATGATTTAAAAAATCAAACTTGGAAAATCAACATGGAAAAAAAAGTGGCAATCAGACTAAATCTTAATAAAAAACATGTACATTGTACTTATTTTGAAAAACTCCTAAGGGAAGTCATGAATCATAAATATGAGCTAGGTGTTTTAATTCCCATCAAGTCCCACTTCTCTTATATAAGAGGAAAACGGAACTCTTGTCTTACCTAAGTTGAGTAATTTTGCCAAATTCATGTAACTAATAATGGGCAGAATCTGGGTCTTCTGAATTCAAGTACTGCACTGTTTTCATTGCATCATTAGGCCAATCAGTGCAAAAGTTTTCAATTCAACCAAACTAAAGCCTAAAGAAATTCAACCCTTGTTAACTTCATTTAATGGCTAAATCCTTTCTTTTGAAGGATTCTAAGCACTGACACTTACACATACAGACATTATCAATTTCATATCTGGGAAAGCTAAAGTGGAGTTAGGTAAATTAATTTAGAAATATAAGCAATACTAGAATGAAGAAAGTCAACTACCTGGCCCCTGGTGACATTCTGTAGGTGACATTCTCTTAAGTGAAACTTTAAGAAACATCATGAGTTTGTTTACCTCAGCTTAAAACAAAACTACCTTTTCTGAGAGGTTTCTACTTCTAGCATTAGAGAATACTGGGAATAAGTTCACGTTCAGTTTCTCTGTGGTTATTATGAATTTGAGGATTTTAACTACATTCTATCTTAACCTTTTAAGACCAAGGAGTCAAAAACAGCTTAAATTTAAGAAGTGGAGATCTGAGTTTTAATCCAGACTGTCGACTACTGTTACTTTAGGTAAATCATTGCCTATTTCTAAATCTCAGATTCTTCCTTCTGTAAAACTGGGGAGAGGGTAGGCTAATTATCACGTTTGGCTCCTTCCCATTTTACTGTTCCCTATCTCTACTTTCATTGATACTAAAGGAAAAAAATAATACTGTATTATTCACTGAGGTGCTAACACACACACACAGTGTCTAAAAGTCAGAGGTTAGTAGTCATGGCACAGAGTGCACTAGGAACAACGTTATTTGGAGTTTCTTGTTTCACATTCAGTTAAGTTTCTAAAAGTCATTCAAAAGTCAATCATCATACACAATAGCTGAACAATGTCAATATTAGGTGCTGAAAAGTATGGCAAACTGAAGATAAATTCCAAGAAAGAATCCCCTCCAGATGAGGATTTGAAACCTTTTATATAGTCAAGAAACTGACAATGTTGAATTTTACTGGACCCCTGTGATCTTGGAAAACAGCAAAGGATAAGAAATTCCCCCACCCTCACCTTTTGTGTTCTAGAAAAGGATAACTGCAAAGAACCACTGGACCCCATTGGACCTGGGTAAAGCTCACAGGTGACCCTCTTGTTTACATACAAGGCCAGACACAAACCTCCAAATTCATATTCTTTGCTTCATAAATGACTAGCTGAACTACTTGTCCCTGTAGATCAACTGGAATAAAATGTTTGTTACTCAAATTCTGGTTAAGATCCCCTTCCCCCAGGTCCCTGAACTTCAGCCCACCCTCAGTCTGAAACAGCATACAACCCCTCAACAGCTCCTTTACAGAATAGACTCATCTGAGGGTAAAACAATCCATGATCTATCAGACCATACTACCCTTTCATCTCACTTCCCCACACCTGGTTCTTTTAGCCCTGTTTACTCCTCTCTATAAAAGAAAAACCCCTTTTGCCTAACCTTTGAGACTCTTGCAGATCTTACGGTCAAGGCATTCTCCCTATTGTAACAGTCCCTTCCCCCACCTCCTTACAATATTCCTTTCGAATAAAGTATTTCCTTACTAAAGTCCCGATTTTTTATTTGGCACCCTTTCCAATTCCAAAAGGGCTGAGTTTGAAAGACATGCTGACCTTGCTGTTTCTTTAAGTAAGTGACAGGTGTTCACCTGTACATGGGGATACGTTGTGCCCGCCTGAAAAGGCTAAAGGCATTTCTAAGATCTGAAGCTTTGGCCACTGCCCTGCAACTACGGAGAGGAGGAGATGGTCAGCCAGGCAAGGTCAATTGTGGGACCACCCGAGACGACCAACCGAGCAAGGTCAACTCTGGGACCACGCGCCGCACACTGTGAATGGGCCACGAACATTTTGGCTACCGTACTCCTGGACAGAAGTCGCGGTTGGGCAGGACAAGATATTGCTCCCTCAGGGGCCCAGGCGCCCCGGCGCTCCAAGGCAGGTGTCGGGTCCTGCCCTGCGGCTCATTCCATTGCTTCTGCCCGCTCCATCCTCAGCCGGGCACTGGACCGGCTCCCTTCCCAGGACTGACCTCCGAGCCCTTCCCACCCACAGTAGTTACTCCAGCCCTCACAGAAGGACTCACCATGGCGCCAAGCACAGGTAGTGGACCAGACGCCCTGGAGTGACCGTGACTGTCCCGGATCTCCCCTCTTCACCCGCAGCCAGGAACCTGTCGACACTGTGAGGGAGAGGGTCTTCCGGCTCTTCCGGAAGTTCAGCCCGCGCGGGACAGGAAGTCCCGCCCCTCTCCTGAATAGCGTCAACCCCACGCCACGCAGAGGTGAGGATACGCAAGACGTCCTCTAGTGCCTCTTCCGTAGGTGCTGGGTTAGAGGCGGGGGCGGTGCCGACCTTGAGAGCGCAGGGGAGGCGCAGGCGCAGGCGCAGGCCAGGTAGGTGGGCGTGAGGCTCCCCATTGTGGCGCCTGCGGGTTCCCGAGGTGGTCGGGTGATGTGGGCAGGAGCGCGTCCTCCCTGGGAGGTGATGGCGGAGCAGGCTGGGGAATGGGGTCGGAGTCGGCCCGAGACCCAGCGGATTTAGGGAGGGATAAAACCTCGGTTAGGCTGTGCTCGGGCTGAGACAGCATTGCGAGGCCTCAGCTCCGCCACGCCCTTTCTCTTTTTACCTCCTGGGTTTTGGGCTCGCCCTCTTTGGAGACTTTAGGGGTCGTGAGAGACCTGTGTGTCTGTCGTCTTCGCTCCCTGCATTAGCGGGTCCTCCAGCTCGACCCTTCTTCAGGGCAGTGGAATTTGATCGTGAGAAGTTGTTTCACTATTCAGAGATGCCAGCTGGAGCCAGAAGAACATCTACCAACAGCAGAGAAACCAAGAAGAGAATTCTGCCTATTTAATACATTACAATATGAACGGTTTCCTTTTAGTTTAAATATATATGTGTGTGTGTGTATAAATATATATATATATATCATCAGCCCAAAGAAAGTAAAACTCCCATATACCTCTTAATTTTGTGTTTTTTTCTTCCCCTAATCTGTACCCATCAACTTTCTCTGCCTTTTTATTTGGCGATAATGAGATAGTATTGGACGCAGGATTGAAATGGATATACAGAGCACCTTTATCCCAGAAATTAATCTCACAGCTTGCTTAAGTAGGGACTATCTGCAGTTTCATCTGTGGGAATCTCGTTTTGTCATAGTGTCTAGTTTTGTCACAAAGCTGGCACTGAGAAGGGAAACTAACTAGGAAGCTTCCGAAAAGGTTAAGAAGGTTGGGCAGGCAGAAGTGGCTGTAGATTTTATATTTCAAACTACCTGGAAAGCATGATATCCACGCTGTGAGTAAATGGGAAAGACCCTGGGAATGAGAGTTCTGAGCCATCCTAAAGAAGCATATACAGGGCAGTTGCTTTATATTAGAAAGAGGGCTAGAGACTGCGTGTATGCACTGGGTTAGGGTTATGTTTTGTGGGTAGATGAGTAGCATAACATTCAGAAGATAAAGGAATCATAGGTCCCAACACTGGAAACAGCTAGAGGTGGGGTGGGGCTGCCAAAGGGTTTGTGAAACGGCTTGTGCTGTGGATGAATCCAGAACTTCCCTGAGGGTTCTACTTTGCTGTAGAGTGTAGACGGACAAAGTTGTGAATAGCCCCAGGGCATCTGCAGATGGTCAGTGTGGTGGAGGGATTTCTGGTCTATCTGTGGGAAGCAGCTGCTAACCCTTGAGGAAGAAAAGGTGTAGAAGGAAAATGGCTATCAGTCTCAGTGACAACACATCTAGTGAAGTCTTACTCTTTCATTTCTGACACTGGTTCTTAAATCTTCTCTAAACCTGGCAGCCTCATTGAGGTTCACAAAGCATGTCCTATGTGACGATAGCACTGGACTTAATATCAGGGTGGAATCCATTCCTGCTAGAGTACAGCCATGAAAGGAAATCACAGTCATTATTTGTTATTTGCTTATTACTTTTAATAGGTCAGGGGTTTCTTATTGGGTGTATGGAAGTGGATAACCCTTGGTCAATATTCTTTAATGTTCTTATTTATATTATTTTTTAAAGATTAAAATGCATGCAATTATGTTTTAAGACAGCATTTCCCAGTTTTTTCTTAAATATTCTACAGAATAATTATAATGTTTTGTATTGGTTACATGCCTTGAAGTAGAGAGATTTACCTGTTTCCATTACTTAAAATAGATGAGAATCTTTGACAAAGATGTAAAGAAAAGGGAGAATAATGCAAGGGATAAAAGATGTGGATGATGGAGATTAAAAAGAAATTTGGTAGTTTTTGGCAGAGGAGATAAGAGTCCAATCTTTGATAAAAGTCTTGGTTGCTTACTGCTTTGTGATGGGGGCTTCCTAAGTGAGAACTACTCTCAAATACTACTTAAGAACACCAAGAAAAAGTTACCTCCTCCAACACCCACACTCACCTGAACATTTTCAACCATTAAGACCTATCACTGTTCCAAGTCCAGCTCCATAATCTTTGCAAAATGTTTTTTTAATGAGCTCCTCCTAAGAATTTCAACTACTTTTTTTAATCTTTAATAAATATGATTATTGCATGGTTTCATATACAGTGCCTTTGTAATCACCCCCCACCATGTGTATTTTCCTAATTAGACATAAATCCTTGGAATTACCACTCTAAAACAACCTTTCTTTAAGGGGGTAATTTTTTAAATTTTTATTTTCTTTTGCTTAAGAACAGGTGAAAGGAGTTTTTTATTTTTTTTATTTTATGCTTTGTAACATACACCTATGTTACTCTCATCTTAATTTGCAACAAGCAAACATGTTCTTCAGAAGCATATTGCACCCCTTTAGTAATTCAGGAGCATAGCCTTCCTCTGAACCTTTCTTTTTTTACATGTTACCATAGTTATATGTAGGACTACACCACATACCTGATTAATTAATGGAATAACTGTGATTTTAACATAGATTATACAATGCACATTTTCAAGGATCACTAACATACATAAAGGGGATCTGGATATAATTTGGTAACTTTTAGAATCAGGAAAGTCTTTGAACTACCACCACCAAGACAGTAAACATACAAAACCATAAGAAAGTACCTGTTTAAGAGGTAAATTAACTTTATTCATTCATTAAATATTTATTGAGTATCTACTTTCCTAGTCACTGTTCTAGACTTGGGGAAACAGTGTAATTAGAGCAGACACCATCCCTACTATCAGTGAGTTAACATCTCAGTGGTAATCGGCCATAAATAAATAATAAAATTATAAGATAGTAATAGTGCTAAATAGGAAATTAAAATAGATGACCATTTTAGATTTTATGACTAAAGAAAGCTTCTAAGAAAGTGCCATTTAAGCTTCTTTTGACAAGAGAATTCAGTTTTGCAAAAATTGGGTAACTCATTGCTCTTAGAGGGGACAGTAATACAAAACCTTCAGGCATGAACTAGCTTGATTATTTCAGGGACCAAAAGAAGGCCTGCCTGGTTGAAGCATAGTGACAAAGAAGGTTAAGTTTGGCCATAGGAAAGAGCTAAATTATGTTGGCATTGAAAGCCAGGAAAGGGTTTGGATTTTATTCTAAGTGTGATGGAAAAAGCATACTAACCTGAGGACTGGTATGAAATAATATATTTTTAAATCTACTCTGATATATTTTAATTAGAATATTTAGCTTGCTTATATATAATACAACTGCTAATATACTTGGATTTAAATCTATCATATTATTTGCTCTTTGTGAATATTTATTTGAATTAGACCCATCTTACATGGCAAGCTCTACTGGCAACCACTTCTACACCACCATGTTTGGGCTGAAAGGCTTTGGGCAAGGTGGATCTGAGAGTCACACTTTCTAGTAGACCCAGGTTGTGGAGACCCCATCCTTGGCTGCCTGCTGGACTACTGCCCCTCCAGGCTGATGCCCAGCCTGGCACCTCATACTCCAAGCACCTGGGGCTCCACTGTAGACCCCATGCTCTTAATGAACCCAACACTGGGAAGAAAAAAAAAAATTGTAATAACTATGTATGGTGTCAAATGTGTACTAGACTTATTGGAGTGACCACTCGTAAGTTATACGTCTGAAACTAATATAATATTGTATGTCAACTGTAGTTGGAAAAAACAGTTGTATCTTTTAATAATAGCTAACAAACCTTGGATAAGGCTACCCCCGAAAGAAAAGAGAGACAAAGAATATTAGAAATGAAAATGGGGATATTACTACAAATTCCGTAGAGATTGAGGAGGCATCATTAACAATTTTGTTATAAAAGATAGGAAAGTAAGAGTGAAATAGTTTCCAGAAAGTGTAACTTTTCAAGTTATTTAAAAAGAATGGTCTGATTACTATGTAAGAGATTGAATGAGTAGGAATATTTGAAAAACAAAAACATGTTGCCCAGAGAGTTTTGCCAAATATTCAATGAACAAATTTCAATCTTACACAAACTATTCCAGAGTATAGAAAAGAGGAAACATGTTTGTATTCATTTTATTTGGCTTCTGTAATCTTGACACTAAAACTTGACAAGGACAATAAGAGAGCCCAATCATATTCATAAAGATAGAGGCAAAAACCTTAAATAACAGTAGCAAACAGAATCCAGAAAATGTGTAAAAAAGATAATAAAACCTCAAGGTGAATTTAGCCCAGGAATGTACTTTAACATGTTAAAAGATTAAAAGAGAAAAAATCATAAGCTTTAGAAAAAATTAACATAGACATGGATAAAACCTTTTGCCAAAATAGAGTTGTGCAGAACTTCCTTAAGTCAATAAAACCTACAATAAACTTTTAAAAATGAAATTTTATTAAAAAGAGGGGAAAAAACTCACAGACATGGACAACAGTGTGGGGATTGCTAGGCGGTGGGGTGCAAGGAGGGGTGGAGGGCAAAATGGTGATAAATGGTGATGGAAGGAGACTTGACTTCAGGTGGTGAACGCAGTACAGTGTACAGATGATGCGTTGTGGAATTGTGCACCTGAAACCTGTATAATTTTATTAACCAGTGTCACCCCAATGACAATAAAAAGAAAAACTAAGAAAAAAATAAATAAAAATGTAAATTTTGAGGCAGTACCTTAGAATCAGGAACAAGTACCACATTGGAGATACCAGCCAGCATTGAAGGCAATAAGAACAAAGTCTATAAAGATTGGAAATGAAGAAACATAATTTTACAGATTATTAAAACAGCTTTGCAAGGATTCTGGATATAGTAATATAAAAAAGCAAACTGCATTTCTCTAGCCAAAAGGAACTGTGAGAAAATAATTTTTAATGACACACTTTACCATATTGTTTTAAAAATATGAATTACATGTGAGTAAATTTAAAAATATAGATCTTTAAGGGGGGAAAAAGTCACAAAATGTTATTGAAAGACAGGGTTGCAGTCTAATAAAGGTGATGGAAGACTCAGTTCCAAGATGGCTCACTCACAGGGCTTCCTGAGTGTCTTTACAACATGGCATCTGGCTTTCCCCAGAGCAAGTGACCCAAGAGAGAGAAGTCAAAATCACTCAAACAGATATATCATTACTTCTGTATTCTATTAGTCCCACAGATGATCCCTGGTACGGTTTGGCAGGGAACCACAAAAGCACAAATACCAGGAGTCTGGCTACCATAATTTGTCCTTCAAAGATTCACATTCTTCCCATATGCAGATACATTCATACTCTCCCAAAGTTCTCCAAAACAGTCATCCCATTATAGCATTAGCTAAAGATCTAGAAATCAAAATCAAGTCCAGATATGGATGAAGCTTTTCAGGTGTACTTTCTTAAGCACAGCTCCTTAAATACAGTTCCTCTTAATAAGAGGACCTGTGAACTAAAGACATGCAGTATTTGCTGCTACATACCTAATATGAAATGGATACAATAACCATGTGCATTTAAAAAGGGGTGAGGGTGGTGAGGCACACAAGTTTACAGAAACTTTGAAATCCACCTGGGCAACCTGATCAGTAGTACCTTGAAGAAAATTCAAGGCCTACGTGTAATTCTCCATGGCTCTTAACTCTGCCTTCTGGTCTCTTGGGTCCACCCACTGAATCATCCTTCCTTTTCCATGTTTATAGCTGTGTAATTTCTACCTGTAGCAGTTTGGATGTCCAAAGCCTGTTTTCATTTGGTTCTCTGTCCTTTCCAGTCCAGGCTGGCAAATAGCATGCTAATATAATTCCTTTTTAAAAAATCTCTTAAAAATTATATTCTGCTAATATAATTCTCTTATAAATTTTGTGGGTCTCCTGTGAATTTTATTTTAGTTCATACTATTAAACAAAGCAACATTCATGAATTTCTTCCATATAAACCCTTTTCTACCTTGGGCCTGCCATGTACCACACCCTTAAACTTCTTAGAAGTCCCACAGTTTGATTAAGAGGTTGTGAGGCACACGCTTTATGTCTACATGAAAATATTCTGAGTTACCACATTAGATCTTTTTAGGTCTTAAAGGGCTTTACAACTACACTCTCAACTTCATATTTTCCCATTAGTGCTCTGGATTTGTTCTTTGTTCTCAGCTATTTTCTAATTTTTTATCTGTCACTGGGAGAGGCTGGAAACCAAATCTCACAAGTTCTGGCTCCTTTTGAATAGTCCTTTAACTTACCTCTCTCCTTACGTTTTACTATAAACAAGAAAAAACCAGGTGACATCTTTAACATTCTGGCTGGAAGTCTCCTTAGCTAGATCATTTACTTCGTTAGGCATATTTTCTACTTTGCACATAACTGCAGGTGACAAACTTGCTAAGGTTTCTGCCTCTTTCCTCCAATTTCCAGTAAGACTGTTCTAATCTGCTGAAACCTCATCTGCAGCCTCTTCAGTGTTATCAGGCATCTACAATTTCCTTAAGGCTCTCAAACTCTCTACCACTGTCCTTCAGGTCCTTCCACCTTCTGCCCTCTGCCACCTCCAAAGCCACATGTACACTTTAGGTTTTTGTTATGTCACCATGTCACTTTTAAGTACCAAAAACTTTATTAACTTCCTATTGCTTTATAACAAATACAAGAGTGGGAAAAATGAATTGCAAATCCTTAGACATGGATGAATCTAACAATGATAAGCAACAAAGCAATTCACAAAAGGATATTACAATAGGACTCCACTTCTATAAAGGACCAATAAAAGTAAAAAATATCTTGTTTAACGGTGCAAACAGAAGTAAGTCTATAAATTCAAGCAAAAGAATGATAATCATAGAATCAAGACAGTGATTTTCTCTGGCTGCAGAAGGAAGGGAACAGAATAAGGAGCACACAGGAACATAAAAGTGGTGTGATTATACGTGTTGGTTTAGCTGGAACAATCCTGATTTGCCTGTTTTCCTGGTATAGTAATAGCACTCTTTTACCCTCAAAAGTGTTCTGGTTTGGATAATAAATTTTATGTTTATTCTTTTTAAGGTAACTTTTTTTCCTCTTAATCTGGATAGAGGGCATAGGGGTCTTCATTGTACAATTCTTCCTTATATCACGCAAGTATTTTATAAATATTAACTTAAAAGTGGTCAATATTTAATGATATTTAAAATTTTAGCAACAACACAGTAAAAAAATAAATCTATATGTAGGATAAATGTAAATAGAATTTGAATGAAATCTTCATCTGGGTAGATGTGGAAACATAACATACTATGTATCTGTCATGGTGTTAAGCCCTTTACAGATATTATTTCATCTTCACAGCAAGATTTTTAGATAGATATTATCTTCATTTTAGGCGTGAAGAATCTGAAGCATAAAAAAGTATACGTAATTTATCCAAAGTCGTACTGTAAGTGACAGAACAAAATTTGAACTCAAGCAATGTGACACCAGACTACATGCTCTTAAGTATAATTCCAAAGTCCATAATAGACATTCCTAATATTTTTTGTGCCATGCATCCCTTTGGCAGTCTGAAGCCTAGAAAGCCCTTTTTTAGAATGTTTTAAATAAATGAAATATGAATAAGATTATAAATGAAACCATTATACTAAAATACAGTAATCAAGATATTCTACAAAAGTGTGCTATACATGTGCTTCTTTAAGTTGCTATACATGTACTTCTTTAAGTTGTTATTAAACATGTGCTTCTTTATTTTTTATGCATCAAGTAAAATATAGCAGAGGATCTAATAATATCTATAGCTTTTAAGTAGTAAACACCAATTGTATCTTGTGATTTCTACAACTATAGAAATGTGGTGGGAAAATATCTGTGATTTTTATTGGTAAAAAAGTCAGCAGTACTTCTCATAACACTGTGGTTTATTACCTATGTTCACAATGAAAGAAATACTAAATTTCACTTTGAGGTTAGCAAAAACTGAAATTCACAACCCTTTGTTTTATGACCTTAATTAATGGACATTCTGACATATATTTTACTTCAGAGAGGTTATATTCTCCGCCCTCCCTTCCACTTTCTGGTTTGGAATTACACTCAAAATGAGATACACAAATAAATTCATTTATTAGAAATAAATATTTCTCCATGTGGTGTACTTGAGTGGGGGATGAGAAACAAGAATGCGTTAGAATGAAGAGGTGCATATAGATAATGGGAAGCTGCATTAGAGTGTTTTATTTGGTTCCAAACATACATTGCACATGCAATTATTCATAAAAAGAATTCATTGTTGATACCACAGTGCATTGCAGTATACTATTTGTCAATATCTATAGCAATGCAACAATCAAAAAAGAAAATTCAAATAGCTGGACACCTTTTAAAAGTTTCATTGGGCTGAAAGAAAAATATCTGACAAGTTTTTGATTTGCCTTTCTCATGATTTGATGTCCCAGCAGAGCAACTGGGGAACCTAATTCTGACCAACAAGGAGGAATTGCTTGGCTAATTGGAAGTGACAGAAACCTTGGGAGAAAACAACCACATACCAAGGATAATTATAAGAAGGTAACATGGGCCCTAAAGGATAGTGTCAAGAAATCTGAAGCCCCTAAATGAGGTGAGACTTGCAAAAAAAATGCTAAGACAGGACAAAGAATGGGCTTTTTAAAATTCTGTTCAGAGTCAGAAGATGATCAAGGAAGAGAAAAGCCCACTTGCAGTTTCTAGTGTAAGGTTAGAGCTGACAGAGAAAGCAGAGCTCCCTAAATATTATAGTGCTTCATTCTCTACAAAGGAAACTTAAATGGATTGACGTAGTAGAAAGAACTATGTGTATTTGTGAGGTCAGGCAGACCTGGGTTTAATTCTGTTTTTCAACACTTAGTAGTTATATTATGCTGGGTCTCTTTCTCATCTGCCACATGGAAATAACTGTATCCTTCTCGTAGGATTGTTGTAATGGAAGTAACACATCCAAAACACTGAGCCAGGCTCACAGAAGTGATTCAATAAATAGCAACTTATTACTGTTACTCAAAAGAGTAGTATAACTATTGACAAGAAGCAATACTCTTTCCAAATAGGAGAAGAAATTCTAAGAAACCTAACAGTTCCCATTTAGTTTATATCATCTGAGGTACCTTAAATTGAAAACTTTGGGGGTGGGAGGTGGGGAGTACAAATGAGACCTGAGAACAGTTGTCCTCATCTTTGAGGAATGATGGAAAACAGTTTAGGTGTTAAAACACCAAACGTGGGCAAGTGTTGGACTTCAGGGTGAATCAGGGTGAAAAGTGGAATTCTAAAACCTGGAATTATTTGCTTTTTGACTCCTTGATATTTTCTCCCTTTGTTACAGTATTCATTTGCCCAGGGAAGGGGGAATTTTTTTAAAAAGCAACTGAAATGTTGTAGACAATATTTATCTGTACCCAATAGGCATTGACATTTTTCGTCATATACTTACGAGTAAGGTGGGGAAGAAAAGGGGCTAGATGATTGACTGACTCCTGGACGGCAGTCAGCCTCTGCAGAGGTTTTTAGTGCAGAATCACAGTCCCTCACTAAGTCAACAGTTAGTATTAAGAGAATATGTAGAACTCATATTTATAAAAATTTTATCTAATTCAAAGTTGGAAAGGACAGGGTCTTTTACAAACCTTAGAACAGCTTGATGTTGACTCTGGGCTAAAGTCTAGATAGTCATATTTAGAATCATAAAATTTGGGGATTCTAACCATGTAAGAAGAGTCCAACAAACTAATACAGAGTTTTAAGTTTATTCACTCAGGTGTCACAAATTAATGGAACATCTACTCTGTGTAAATGTCTCTGTTGGGCTTTAGAAGCTCCACTAAGGAAGGATTGGGGGAAAATGTGAATGTTCATCCTGGTGTATATTTTTGGGAGCATGATGGCTGTCTTCAAGTATCTAAAGTACTGTCATGTGAAAAAAGGACCACACTTCTCAGGAGAGTCTCAAAGGATGAAACTAGACCCATTGGTAGGACCTATTGTAAGCATTTCAGTTCAATGTCAAAACACTTACAGACTTGTGTATTTGTTTTTAGGCCATTTCAGTTCCATGTCAAGAAACACTTCCTAATAGAACTGGGCAAAAAGTGAGTGAATTCCTAGTCACTTGAAGGATTCAAGCATAAATTGTCACCTGCTTAACTGGACAATGTAGAAGAGGTCCAAGTATCAGAAATGTATTTTTTGGTATGATTCCAGCTGTGTGAGAAGTTATTTTACCTCTCTGTAACTCAGTTCTCTGTAAAATGGCAAAATCTGACTAAACTGCCGCCATATTCCTTTTGAGTTTTAAATTGTTTTGATTTTATGGTAGTGTAATTACATTTTGCTGTCTTTGTCAGATTTACATAATATTGGCCTTTTATCACTTGAAATACATCTCACTATACTTGTGAGAATTAACTGAGATGTTTAAAAAAGTATTTGTAAAAATTTAGAACACTATGTAACTGTAAGATATCATTATAGTTCAACATCATGGGCCATTAGGAAAATGCAAATTAACACCACAATGAGCTACCGCTATACACATATTAGAATGGCCAAAAATATATATATATATACTGATGATACCAAGCGCTGACAAGATGAACAATGGTACATTCATATCATGGAATACTATTCAGTGATAAAAGGGTACAAACTTGATACATGCAGCAACTTGCATGGATCTCAAAACCATTATGCTGATTGAAAAGTCAATCTCAAAAGGGTACATATGGTATGATTTCACATATATAATATTCTTAAAATGGCAAAATTATAGTGGTTACCAGGTGTTAGAGTTGAGGGAGGGTGTAACTATAGGGTAGCATGAAGGAGTTACTTTGGAGTGATGGAGTAATTCTATGTCCTAATTGTGATCACTACATGAATCTATTACATATGATAAAACTTTATAGAACAAAACACCAAAAAATTATATTTATCTTCAAGGTTCTGGAAAGCAAGAAAATTTATATCTTTACTCACTTTTTGATTTCACTGACTTATTTTGTTGTTGTTAATCCTTATCGAGGACACTTTTTCCATTGGTTTTTAGAGAGACTAGAAGGGAGGGAGGGAGAGGGAGAGGGAGAGAGAAACATTGATGTGAGAAAGACACATCAATCGGTTGCCTGCCACCCAGGCCCCAGTTGGGGCCCAGGACTGAACCTGCAAACCAGGCACAGGCCCTTGACCCTTTGGTGCATGGGCCGATGCTCCAACCACTGAGTACACTGGCCAGGGGCTTCACTGACTTTTTTATGTTTAGGTATGAACTGTCTTGCAATCAATAATGTGGAATGTTTTTCATATGAAACATTTTCCTTCTTGAAGAATACCATAGAAATAAGGGTGGGACGTATACTTATTTGATGGTAATTTACTCCTTTCCTATGGAGTAAAGGAGTAAATGGTCAAATGTTAAAGTAAATTTGGGCAAAGCTCACTTTTATTTGTATTTTATTCTTGTTCTAAAATTTTACAATCACATTTTCAAGGAAGCCTCTGGAAAAGATTTTTACATAAATTTTCACAGCTCAACTCAAATGTGATCTATTCTTTACTATGTATGAAGAGACTGTCAGCCTTTCCAGGTTCTACTATAGCTGCTGATTCTGTTTATACTTAACTAAATATACTTCCATTTAAATTGCCAAATCAACATAGGAGGTTAAAATTAATTTCTGTCCTAGGATAAGATATATACAGAGAGTTTGTCCCAAAAGTGAAATTCTCTTAGAAGACGATCCTTCTGGATACTAAAATATTAGCCTCTCTCAGTATAAGGCTGTTCTTGTGACTGACATTACTAATGTTCATTAATATTTTCAATCTCTTTCCTTTTCTCAATATGTATAATAGACCCCTTTTATCTGCAGTTTCTCTTTCTGGAGACTTCTCTTGTTCTTTCATTTGGGGCTTGTTTTTTGGTTTCCCCATTTTGGCTGCCTATTTGAATTTGTTTCTATGTATTAGGTAGGCCTGCTAGGACTCGGTCTTTTTGGAGGGTCCCTGGTGCAGGCCAATGTCAGACGCTCTTTGTGACTGGCCCTGAGTGCCCTGTTTAGAGCTATCAACACCCCATGGCTTGAGGTCCCCTCTGTTGGGGCTGGGTACGTTTGGACAGGACCAAGATGCACACCAAAATCTGCTTTTCCAAGGCCCGGGTCCAGAAGCAGATCAGGCAAAGACCCAAAGCACTCTGAGGTCTGCCTTTGCCTGTAGGTTCATTAATCTGATTCTATTAATGAGCCTCAGGCTGTAGAAACTCCACAGGGTAGGGTGGCTGGTTGTTATCAGTCTCTGAAGGAGCCTCAGGCTGTAGAAACTCCTCTGAGTAGGGGGAGAGGTTTTCCAGCAGGGTGGGGCAGTTGCTTCCCCCTCAGGCAAAAGCTGCTGGAAGGTAAACCTCTGCCCGTGAAAGATGTCCTCTGCAGCTTGGGGGAATGACTCAATCCAGAGGGGTGCCCTCTGAGCTCCGTCTCCAGAGCCCACAAGTCTAGATTCTCCTCACACATCTCCAGTCCACTCTGCCCTCCCTTTGCTGGAGCCCAAGGTGAGTGGTGCACACAGAACTTTGTGCGTTGGCTCTTGAAGAGGGTGCCTGCATTTCCAGCCGTCTCTTCCTGGCGGACAGAAACCTGGCTGCTTTTCACAACCAGTTGTTATGTGAGCACCTTTCTCAGTTCTGATGCTCTGGGCTGGGAAGCCCAGCCTGGGGTTTAGGCCCCAGAGTCCTCAGTGGGAACCCCCACAGCTGAGATCTCCCCCCGGACCTTCAGCTGCTGCCTATGGGAGCCCAGCCAGCCCTCTGGTGCCTCCACACTTCCTGCCAGTCTCTCTGTGGTCTCCACTCTAGGTCCTTGGTTATGAAGGTGCTCTCCAGCTAGTCTTCAGTTGCAGTTGGTTATTCAGGATGGTTTTTTATATTTTAGTTGTAATTCCAGTTTGGTTGTGGGAGAGTGTCAGTGTAGCTTCCATTCAGTCCACCTCCATCTTTAATTTCCTATAGTTTCTCTATCCACGATTTCAGTTACTTATGGCCAACTGAGATCCAAAAACAGTGAATGAAAAATCCCAGAAATAAACAATTCTTAAGTTTTAAATTGTGCGCTGTTCTAAGTAGCTCCTTTGCACCCTGGACGTGAACCATGCCTTTGTCCAGCATAGCCACACTGTATACACTACCTGCCCACCAGTCACTTAGTAGCCATCTCGGTTATCAGCTTGACTGCTGAGGTTTTGCAGTGCTTGTGTTCAAGTAACCCTTATTTTACTTAATCATTGCCCCAAAGCATAAGAGTGGTGATGCCGGCATTTCACTTATGTCAAAGAGAATCCGTAAAGTGCTTCCTTTAAATTAAAAGGTGAGGACAGAACAATTATGTATTTTTGAGAGAGAGAAAGACCACATTAACATAACTTTTATTATAGTATAATGTTATAATTACTGTATTTTATTATTCTCGTTGTTAATCTCTTACTATGCCTAACTTATAAATTAAACTTTATCATGGGTATGTATGTACAGTATAGGAAAAAAAAACACAGTATATATAGGGTTTGATACTGTCTGTGGTTTCAAGCACTCTCTGGGAGTCTTGGAACATGTCCCCCACAGATATGTGGGGACTACTGTAAAAGGTTACATTTCTCACTTCTGCAGCTAGATAGGAATACAACTAGTTCTACCTATGGACAGTGACCAGGCTGTGCTACTTCCAGGCCAAAGGATTTAAGAGTCAGTACATGATTTCCCATGCTGCCTTTCCTAGCACAAAAAATGCTCAGGCATCACACTGAGATGGAGATACCAGAAGAAGGAAGCAATTTGGAGTGTTGATCTTCTACATGAAGCGATATCCTGGAGAAACTTCTGGACTCTTTGCTGACTTGCCTGAATAAGAAACTTTTGTGTGATAAACTTCTGATGTTTTGGTGTAGTTTATTACTGCAACATCATCTAGCTTATCCTGACAAATAAAATCATCTGTATACTAATTTTGCCAATATTAAAGTTTTTGTGCCCTCTTATGCTTTCTGTACATCAGATGAATAGTTATATATAAGTTGTCAGTTTTTCCAATAAGAAAATATTTAATATGATAAACATTTCAATTAACTTACTTTATTAGTCTCCACCAACAACTTAAGATCTGAAAATTTTAATATAAATGCACAATAATACTTTGAATTATTATTTCAAAAGGTATATTATGTATACCTTTATCTCAAAGGTATTTATACTTTTGTTATACTTCATGTTAATCATTACCAACCAATAAACTTTATACTTTATGTTAATCATTACCAACCAATAAAAAGGATGCATTTTTATGCAGTCTTTTAATTCACTAAATAACCGTTGATATTTCTAGCCATGTTCTCTGGGAAGCAGACCCTGAGATAGAGATTTGCATGCAGGTAAATTTATTAGGGAATTCTTATGGGTCAATACTTTAAAGACAGTCCTTGTGGGCCCAAGGACTGAAGGGTCTCGGGTTCAATTTTGGCCAAGGGCACGTTGCAGGCTCGATCCCCAGCTCTGGTCAGGTACTTGCAGGAGGAAACCAATCAATGTGTCTCTCTCACACTGATATCTCTCTCTCTTTTTCCCTCTCTTTCTCCTTTCCACTCTCTCTGAAAAGCAATGAAAAAAATATCCTCATGTGAGGATTAAAAAAATAAAAATGAAAAAATAAATAAAACATATCTATTCCTTTAATTTCACCACCACACCTGCCCCCAGAAGACAGAAATTGAGGGCTGAGTTTAAAAGTCTTTGGGGCTATCTAGTTTTGACTAAGGTGTACAATGCTTATGTTAACCCCCATATCACTGGTTTTTATTTGGTAATTTACTATTGATACATAAACACCAAGAAAGCTGGGTTTGAATTGAATGAGACTATCAAAGAATTCTATACCTAACTTTGGGAGGACACAGTTTATGAGAATTGAGCCCAAAAGAATTGAGCCCACCACCTCTCTCTGAGGTTTTTGCATTGGTTACTTACTTGTATTCCAAATAATGGCAACACAGTAACATGATATATACTGTAATATTATTGATCTCTTTGGATTATGGACCTTCCATACTCTGAGGTGCTGACTTTAAACTGACTTTGCAGTTAAAGCTTCAGGTTTGTGACTTTTGGACACCACATGTTACAAACCTTTGAAATGATCTTTTTACTAGACAGTAGAAGCATTCTTCATGCTCAGTGCAAAGGCAGCAATGGCTGGACCTTGTTTAGCTGCGAATGCTTTTTAGAGAAATTGTGGATGCTAACAT